CCCCAGAGTCTCCAGTCTTAGTAAGTCCCTCAACCTGGGAAATCCCTCACTTCTGGTTTTAGCACTGAAAGTCTCCCAATCCCTTAGTCCTGGGCAAATGTGGACGGTTGGTCAACCAACTCCTGTGTGGGAATAGGTCCCAGACCCAGACAATGAATGGATGGCCATTGCATGAACACCAAAAGTGCCATGGTTGTGAAGAAGGATCTTATGAAGAAAATCTTTGTGGGGAGTCTGAACCCCGAAGCTACATGGAAGAGGATAGGGAGTACTTTGACAAGTTTCAGGAAATGAGTATCTCCCCAAAATGTGGTTTATGCTCCCCACCAACCACCTGTGGCTGCTTTTTTCCTTCCTTCCTTCTTTCCTTCCTTGGCTGGCTGGAGTTCTCCTCAGCAGGGCTTCTTTCTCCTCCCCTGGCATTTGGGTGTCTTCTCTCCTGTGAGTTCCCTTTCGGTCCTGAGTCAGAGGAGGTACCAGCCCTGAGCTTTGCCTGTGTTTCCAGATCAAGGCCGATGAGTTTTGTGTGTGTGTGGGGGGGGTTTTTAGGGATTTTTAAAAATATACTTATTTATTTTAGAGAGGAGGGGCAGGCAAAGGGAGAGAATCCTCAAGCAGACTCCCCACAGAGCACAGGGCCCAATGCAGGATTCCATCTCAGGACCCACAAGATCACAACCTGAGCCGAAACCAAGAGTTGGATGCTTAACCAACTGAGCCATCCAAGCACCCCTAGGCCATCAGTTTTCATTGGATCCAGAGTCCAACAAAAGACAACGTTCTGTTTTCATCACCTTTAAAGAAGAGAAACCTGTGAGAAATATTCTAGAGAAGTTCCACACCATCAGTGGAAGCAAGGTGAGGAGTCTCTGGCTCCATGTGCCTGCCTTCCTGCCTCTGGAGAGCTAGCCTTTGGATTACTGAGAACCCAGTAAGGTAACCAATCATCCCGATTTAACATTGAAAGTATCATGTTCTGGGAAACCTTTCCTGGAGTATGAAAGGTCCTGGTTTGGGCAATGAGTGTGGAAGACTGGAAGAAAAATCCAAAGCCCATACAGCGACCCAAAAAGAGGGGCTGAGAGCAACACTGTCTTAAGTGTCAAATGGATATGACAGAGATGATGCACCTTCTGTAGTTGCTGTTGCCCACTTTCCCCCCAACCACTGATGTTGTCAACCACAGTTTGCAGTTGACACTAATGGTTGACCCATCCACGGTTGCATGACGGAGAGTGACTTCGGTGTGTCGTAATCAGTCTGTCCTTGACTTTCCCTGAGGATGAACTGTTGTGATGTGTATAAGGATAGGCTAGTTTAAATTTTTAAACTTGTGAATATTGTTTTCTAAGAAGTTAATGAAAATGAGAACAATTATAATACCAACACAAGCATGATCCCGTCACCAAAAAAGACTAAGTGGACCATATTATTTTAGTGACAAATGGAAGGAGACCTGGAACTGGATCAGAGAGGTAAATAACCAAAACAGAGCATACTGCGCAATGCGCAGAAAAGAATTTGGGATCGGGCATGGTGGAGAAGGGGATGTGCAAACACATGCGGAGACTGAATCTCACCAGTCCAGAATGAGACAGGCAAGTGACTCTAAACCCATCAAAAGTGTTTTTATTCCCCAAGAAGATATCAGTTCAGTCAAAAATAGCAGCTGTTGAATTAGCTTGGGGATACTACACAAACCAACATGCATCATCCTATGGCTCCCTTGATTGCTCTATGAAACTGAGTAAGTTACTTTTCCTGACTTAGGGGTTGCAACTAAAATATCCTGTGGGCGAGCAAAGGAGAAACATTGATAGCAGAGGTGTTGGCCCCTTACAGTGTAGAGCTGATTTTGTCCTTTCTCACCAACCATCATGCTTTCTACAATCTATGCACTGAACCATGGCAACAAAAAAATGTTTCCTCTTGGGGTGCCTGGGTGGCTCAGTCGTTAAGCGTCTGCCTTCGGCTCAGGTCATGATCCCAGGGTCCTGGGATTGAGCCCCGCATCGGGCTCTCTGCTCGGCAGGAAGCCTGCTTCTCCCTCTCCCACTCCCCCTGCTTGTGTTCCCTCTCTCGCTGTGTCTCTCTCTGTCAAATAAATAAATAAATAAATCTTAAAAAAAAAAAGTTTCCTCTAGTTCTTAGGTCCTTTGACTTGAAAAATGGGATTTGAAATTGACTTCCATGCCAGTGGAAGAGCTGATACAGACTGAGTTTTAGAACATTGTTTGAAAACGAGGATTAGGCTCAGGATCCACAGAGCACTCACTGAGGGGTAAACATCCTGTGAGGTCCTGCCTGAGCAGCCAGTCAGCCTCTCAAGTGTGCTCTCCTCCTCTCCAGGTCCACCCATACACAACTTACGAAAGCCTGTATTACTATACATTGGGAGTTCTGCAAATCCAAAGGGGCTTGAGGATGGAAATCAGGAAATCTGAGAACATGGATGGAGAAAAGAAATTTCTATCTTCATGAACCTCTAACTATAGTCTAGCATTTCTTTCATAGGCAACAACCACCGCAGTATTAGTACCTGTGACTGTCATCACTAGGAGTCACAGATGCTTGCATGTTCCAGATACCTCAAAATATTGTTTAGGTGCAGCACTACTTGGGAATTATGGTCATTATTATTCCCACTCTGAGATCTTGTAATGTAATAAGGAAGCACATCTATTAGACCACAGATTTAAATTTTTAATAATTTGATAACTGTATTTCAGTAAAATTGGCTTCCTTGACAATCCTATATTTTTTATTGTGTGTTTTTCCAGACTGCCAAAGGGGATTGATGGCACATCAGAGGGCCATCTGTCTCTGCCGTGGATCATGAATAGACAGCTTGACAAATAGGTAGAGATGAATATGCTTTGTGGCACCCTCGCCTTGTGCTCTAACTTTATCATTAGCTGACATATGAGTTGAGAGTGGCCCCTTTGCCTAAGAACCTTTGTGAACCCACATGTCCAAGAATATGGAATTTCCCATCATAGAGAGTTGTTCTTTTAGGTTTAGGTGAAAACGCCTCAAGTAGGAATATCATGGGACTGTTTCCAGCTTCTAATACCTCAGTGACAGGGTGGAAGGGATCTCTCAGAGCACCTAGTCTGAACAGCACCTTATAAATCCGGGCACTGAAGTCTGAGGTCAGGGGCAAGTTATTTACTGGAGGTCATACCAGGTAAAGATACGGAGGCATTCCAAGAGGGTTTTTAGTTTTATTCCGGATAGGGAAAGTCCTGGGAGTCTGGAGAGAGAGGGTAGGGGGAGGATAGGGTAAGGATGGGCATAGAAGGGGATGGAAAGGAGAGCTGCCTATTATTGTATAAGGATACAAACATACTGACTCAAAGGGGCACATGCACCCCCAATGTTTATAGCAGCAATGTCCACAATAGCCAAAATATGGACAGAGCCTAGGTGTCCATTGACAGATGAATGGATAAAGAAGATGTGAGACATATATATGCGTATGTATATATATGTTATATACATTATATACAATATTGTATATATTGTATATACAATTGTGTGTATACACACACACACACAGTGGAATATTAGTCATCAAAAAGAACAAAATCTTGCCATTTGCAACCACGTGGATGAAACCAGATGGTATTATGCTAAGCAAAATCAGTCAGAGAAAGACAAATATCATATGATTTCACTCCTACGTAGAATTTAAGAAACAAAACAGATGAACATAGGGGAAGGGAAGGAAAAATAAGACGAAAACAGAGAAGGAGGCAAACCATAAGAGAACTCTTAACTCTAGGAAACAAACTGAGGGTTGCTGGAGGGGAGGTTGATGGGGGGATGGGGTAACAGGGTGATGAGCATTAAGGAGGGCACTTGATGGAATGAGCACTAGGTGTTATATGCAACTGATGAATCACTAAATTCTACCTCTGAAACTAGTAATACACTATATGTTAATTAAATTGAATTTAAATTTAGGAAAAAAAGAAATGAAAGGAGAGCTGGGGCTTGGAGCCAAACTTCCCCCACTCCACATTCCAGTGCCTGCCATCAACTCTCCTGGGAACCTTCGGCAATCCTATCAACTCCCTGGGACCAACTTAGACTTCACATAAGTGAGATAGTCACGTTACTTCCCTGAAGCACTTCCATGCACAAGGAATAGGTTCAGCAAACAAATCTTCACAAGATTTGTGTATATTCTTAGGGTTTTTTTTCTTTAATATTAAGAAACTCTGCTATTATTCATAGCCCAGCAACACTCCTAGAGCTGCTGGATGACTCCTACATGACCGCCTTCTTCAAATCTCTGAAGGACTTGTCCTAGAAGGAAGAGGGTCCGGTTGGCGCTAACAGTACGCGGTTTAGAAGGCAAAACTGGCCTGAGTTAAGTTGTTGCCAGGAGGCACAATTCCAAATCCACTTAAGGTTCATTCCTGGGATCGGATTATCCCGGGACTAGACACGACTTAAAGTGCGTTTCAGGTCTGTCAGTCTATACCTTTCCCCTCACATACTTAAGCCCAGCAAATCCTGGGCATGAAGTATAAAACCGGGATCCTGATCTCCCCTCCACATCTCCAGGACCTGCTAGCCAGTGTGATATAATGAAGGGAGCTCCGACTTTGAAACCAGACAACCTTGGGCTCTATCCTTTGTACCCCACTTAGGAGCTGAGACCGTGGACGAGTAAATCAGTTCACCTGTCTGAACCTTAGCTCCCCCCACTGAAAATGGGGGTGATCTGCTGGCGAGAATCTAAAAGGCCCGGGTTGCTGTTGAGGTCGCACAAATGTCCCTTGAGTGAAGAATGAAGCTCACGGGGCGCCTGGGTGGCTCAGTCGTTAAGCGTCTGCCTTCGGCTCAGGTCATGATCCCAGGGTCCTGGGATCGAGTCCCACATCGGGCTCCCTCCTCGGGGGGAAGCCTGCTTCTCCCTCTCCCCCTCCCGCTGCTTGTGTTCCTGCTCTCGCTATCTCTGTCTCTGTCAAATAAATAAATAAAATCTTAAAAAAAAAAAAAAAAAGAATGAAGCTCACGGTTAAAACTCCGCCTTCTGGGGTCCCGGCTACACCCAGACCCACTCTCGGCGGACGCTTCTCAGTCCCGCCCCGTCCGGCAGGAGGCAGCGGACCGCAGTCCGGGCGCAGAGCCGGCGCCGAAAGCCCGGCAGAAGGAGCCAGCGGTTTGGAGCTTCCGGGTCCGGAGCCCGTGCGGGACACGCCCAGCAGAGGCGGGGGGGCGGGCCGTGCGCCGCGGGGAAGGCGCCGCCCGGAACCGGCAGGCCCTGCCCAGCGCCGCGAGGTACCGCGCAGAATCGGGAGGCGCTGGCCGCCGGGACCGCTTCCCGATACCAGGTACGAAGTTGGCCGGAGGCTGGCTCCCGATTTGTCTCCTTTGAGCCGCGGGGAGGGCTCGGGGCTGCAGGTGAGCTGTACACCTCGCAGTCGAGAACTTCCTCTCCTGAATTTTCTTGTGAAGGCACAGATACGAGCAAAGATGCTGAGGACCTGGGGAGGATTTTGCAGGGGATGGGGGCCGCTTCTCCCAAGCGTCGCTTCTCTCCACCTCCTGGGAATTCCCCGAATGTCCTCCTTCCGCGGCCCTGAATCTCCCACCTGTTCTCCTTCCTACCTTCTTGGAGCTAGGGAGAGGCGGGGAAGGGATGGGGTTCTCGGACCATGGCAAAAACGCTTGGCAGTTTTAACCTTCCTAGTACCACCCAGACTTCACTCGAAAATGGTCTTTCGAGCCCCAAGGGGTGCAAAGGTAGGTAGCTTTTTATATAGTAGCTTACGGAAGATCTCTTAGTGGGTTCCCCAAATTTTGGAGGGCTAGGGGCAAGGCAGGGCCCTGTCACCTGGTTTCGTACGCGGTGCAGTAAATCATTTTGCTGCATTGCACCCAAGATGCTTTCTGGCCTCTCCAAGTACTGAGGTAGCGTTTGCTATGAGAGCATGTGATGCAAGGCGCGCATCGGCTCCCACTTCCATCGCTTTCCTTTGTGGTTCTGGTCATATGGTCCTGCCATGGAAATGGAGCAAGAGGGGTGATTGCTTTTTGTCTGCATTTTCTCTGTGAGCTCAGAAACTTCTTGCAAGGATTGGGAATAGATGTGTTTTGCCTCCTTAGAATACTCCGTTCAGTAAGGAGATTAAGGGAACAGGCTGTTTCCTGGCAATAGAGCTAGACTCAGGGGTTGGTCAGTTACAAAATGTCTTCCTTGGGCAGAAGTTGTTCCTTTGGTTCATTCAGCACGTATTTTCTACACACTCTGCCTTGTGCGTGGCCGTGAGCTTGGTGATGTGGGGAGGATAAAGATGAACTGAACTTGAGCTTCGCCCTGGAGGAGCTTGGCTGGGAGGGGAGATAGGGAGGGGAGCTCAACCTAAGTAACTCTATACCAGGTAGAAGGAGGTGCAGCCCTGAGAGAGGGTCAGAAGAAGACTGGGAGCTCAGAGGAGGGAAAAGAATCGGCCTTTTACATCAGGTGGTCGGCATAAGGAGAAAATTAGATCCCCAAATTATTACCTGATGATGAGTGATCTCTCATAAGCTTCAGATGTGTGTGTAAAGGTGTCTTCCTCACTGTGTCAGCATCTTAGACTATGTCTCAGATAGATCCCCACCATTCCTGGATTCCTCCCTCCTCCTGCCACCGCTTGCCTACTGCTGGTGCAGTGCTCCCTGTCTCGGAGACTAGCATCAAGGCCTCTCTTCCTCCCACCTCTCCTTCCTAGTAGTCCAAGCCAGAGACCTAGAGGTGAGTCATCTCCGACTCATCCCTCCCCCGCACTCCCCACATCCAGGCTATTGATTCTACTTCACAAACCTCTCTGAGAGCTGACCCACCCTCCTTGCCATTGCTCCAGGCCAGGCCACCACCATCTCTTGCTTAGCTCAGCCTCCTCTTCACTTCGTCCCATGTCCCACTACCGCTTCGAGGAAGCACTTGCTAGAATTAAATCTGGTTGTGAGACTCCCTTCGTTCATCCCTACTGCCCTTGAGACAGAACCCAGCCTCCCTCTACAGCACTCACAAGCGTCCTGGCCCTGTCTTTTTCCCCAGCCCCCTCTCTCCCCAGCCCCCCTGCACTCCTGTTCATTTTGAAAACATGCCATGCTTTCTCATGCCACGAGGCTTTTGCACACATTCTCTCTGCTGCCTAGAGCACATCCTTCCTTGCCACCCTCTTCACTCGGCTTACTCCTCCTCTCCCCAAGATCCCAGCTGGGACTCCGTTTGCTGTAGGAATCCTTCCTTAGGCTCCCAAGTCCCCTGAGGCACCTCCTCTTGATATGGGGCCCATGCATCTCCTCGTAGGGCTCACCACACATCTGCCTCCTCTGCTGTGCTGTGCTGTGCTGGAAGGCCAGAGCCAAGTCCAAGGGCTTTCCGTGGCTTCCTACTGCCTTGCACAAAGAAGACGTTCAATAAATAGTTGTTAAGTGGAGTTGAGCATAAGCTGTAACATTATGGTTTGATTCATCAAATGCCTGAGTCATAAAGTCACCCCATCTCCATTGTTTTCTCAGTGAGCTGGTATAGTTATGGCCTCACACATGTCAAGCTTAAAAATGGGTGTAAGGGTGCAAGAGAAGAACAGCCATTATTAAAGCAGCTAGTATTTGTCGGGTGCTCAGTATGTGCAGGCACTGTTGTAAGCACTTTTCAGTATTACCTCATTTAATCATCACAGCTCTGCGAGGTAATTTTGTTATCCGTATTTTTTTTTTTTAAGATTTTATTTATTTGCGAGAGAGAGAATGAGAGACAGAGAGCATGAGAGGGAGGAGGGTCAGAGGGAGAAGCAGACTCCCCGCCAAGCAGGGAGCCCGATGCGGGACTCGATCCCGGGACTCCAGGATCATGACCTGAGCCGAAGGCCATCGCTCAACTAACTGAGCCACCCAGGCGCCCCTGTTATCCGTATTTTACAGATGGAGAGACGGGGTTGCAGAGAGATTAAGGAACATGCGCAATGTCACATGGCTAGTAAGTAGTGGTATCAGGTTTGGAGCCAAGCCTACATTGTGGAATTCGATTAACTCTTAGGGAGAGGCAGTAGGTAGGACGGACCACGAGAAGCTGACAGGGCTGAAGATGGAAAGTCACCAGATGCAGTGTGGTCGCAACTTGAAGCTGTGAGACCAACAGAAGGGACTGAGCCAGAACTTTACAAATCTGAAGGGCATTCGTTTTATCTGCATATTCATTTTTTTTCCGGACCGCTGACTCAGTTATCAGAGGTATGATTGCTAGTGGTTAGGAATGAGACTTCTCTCAGTCTGAAACTTGGTCCTGTTGCATGGCCTCGGGGGTATTGCTGGCCCTTTCTGTGCCTCAGTCGTTTCATCTGGAAAGCGGGGGGGGGGGGGGGTAATAACGATCAGGCTTACCTCAGAAGGTTGCGGTAATAATTAAACGAGCCAATGTGAGGCTTTAGAAGAGTGCCTAGCACATGGTAATTGCTCGCAGACATCCTCATCCCGTTATTATTGTGTGTTTATCCACCTGGCAGTCCGCAGTGGTTTTTGAGCACACGTCCTTCCTGTGGGTTCCGTCCTGCAGCACCGCTCTGTGGACACAGACGAGTTCTCCTTTTTTATTTCTTCTTCCCTTGGAGGTTGAGGATTTTTCACTAGTGCCTCCCAAGCAGTGCTGTCATCTCTTGGGCCTCGGATCCCCCCCCCCCCGTAACTTTTGGCTTCCTCTCTGAGATCAGCTCAACACTCCTTTTCTGTTCTTCTGGGTCAGGTTGTTACCAGTTTGTGCAGAGGATCAAAGACTAGGTTAACCTAAAAGATGAGCAGCGAGAACACTGTAAAACTACAAAGAAACCTCATGTGAGGTGCGCCTGGGTGGCTCACTCGGTTCAGCGTCTGCCTTCGGCTCAGGTCCTGATCCCAGAGTCCTGGGATCGAGTCCCTCGTCGGGCTCCCTGCTCAGCGGGGAGCCTGCTTCTCCCTCTGCCTCTGCCCCTCCCCCTGCTTGTGCTCTCTCTCAAATAAATAAATGCAATCTATAAAAACAACAACAACAAAACCTTATATGCTATTCCTTGTATATACAAAGATATTTTCCCCATGGAGGAAATAGAGTAAAAGAGGTAAGATATAAAAGCGCCACTGGGAATCCGAAATTAAAAGAATTAAAAAGCTGCAAGGAACCTAAGGGCTCATCTCATCTACTCTCCTCATTTTGGGGGGCATTGACGGCAGGGATGGGGCATGGTCCAAAGCCCAACAGCCAGCTAGTGACCTGTGCCCATGTCTCCAGCTTGTAGCCAGCACACTTTCTCCTACATCTTCTAGATTCCCGGGTAGGATTATAATGAAACTTCTCAGCCCTAGGTCTGTGTCTCAACTGCTGCTATGAGGCACCGTAGGATGCTCTCATCACTCACATAGTTTTGTGCAAGGGGCTTCATTATATTCTTCAGTGATTCACCATTGATGAAGCATGGATATCTCTGGCTGAGCTTTCCTTTTTTTTTGTAGACTAGAGAAATTAATCTCTGTAATTCTGTGGAATGCGTATCATTTTTATATTACCTATGCTCCCCCCAGTTTTTTAATTTTGTAAAACTTGTCCCTTCCCCCAGCAGTAGAATTGCAACCTTGCCAATGGACCTGATTGGTTTCGGTTATGCGGCCCTTGTGACATTTGGAAGCATCTTGGGATATAAGCGGAGAGGTAAGCCTTAACCATATTTTTCATCCAAGGGACTTGATGGGGGATTGGTGGTTGTGCTAAGATTATCTGAGGGTTTGTAAATAAGACAAGAAGCTGAAGATGTCCTAGAGGTGGCTGAGGACCAGCATGTCGTGCGTGGAAGGGAGTCGAAGAGGGCAGGGGGGCTGGGTGTGGCAGAGCATTCCAACCCAGCTGTCTGGGTCTCTCTTCAAGGGTCATTATCAATTGCATAATTAATTGACTTAACCTCCTCAGGGCTACTCGCTTATTATCAAGTGAGTATTTTTGTTTGTTTACATACTCTTAGTATCAAAACTTGAATTATGTTGATACTGTGTTTTGCAAAGGAAAATTTGTTAAATACTTAGATATCCTATCTGAGGTTGTCTCTTCATCTGTATCCAAAAGAGGAAAGAAAAAAAAAAACCCAGCTGATAAGAAAAAAATGGAAAAAAATGAGAGGTTCTATTTGTGACATTGGTGGGCTTCACCTTGAGTGAAAAAGCCAGGTCTACATAGTTATTAGAGTTATTATTAAACAGTTGCTAAGAAGTCCAAGGCCAGAAGCACAGGTCTGTGTAGGGATTGAGGGGTGGCAGGTTAAAATAGAGTATTTTCTGGGGCACTTGGGTGGCTCCGTCGTTAAGCGTCTGCCTTCAGCTCAGGTCATGATCCCAGCGTCCCGGGATCTAGCCCCACATCGGGCTCCCTGCTCAGTGGGAAGCCTGCTTCTCCCTCTCCCACTCCCCCTGCATGTGTTCCCTCTCTCGCTATATCTCTCTGTCAAATGAATAAAATCTTAAAAAAAATTAAAAAAAAAAATAGAGTATTTTCTAAGATTCCTGGGAACCTCTAATTTACTTAGACTTTTGTTTGTTGCTCTTATGTTCTCTCTCAATGTGTGTAGCATCCTCGATATGTATTCAGTGGAAAAATGATGGCACCAAAGACCTATAAACCACTACTGATGTTTTATAATCTACTTTGAAGAGGGCTTAGTTTAAAATTCTGATAGGATTGTTATTGAAACACTTTTTCATTGTCAAAGATGTGTCTAAATAACTTTTGTGACAGAAGAGAAAAAGCACCTCTGGACCTTTTTGCCTGCGTGTTAGAGGAGTGGGAAGAAGGAAGCGCGCTCATGGGTGCGTGCGTGTGTGTGTGTGTGTGTGTGTGTGTATGTTGGGGCGGCTGGGGGTGGGGGAGGGGAGGAGAGGCAAGGATTACTTTACAATTCTAACCCAGATCTCTTCAGGAACAAATGCAATCACATTCTCTGTAAGGTCCCTGATATCAGGTGCATGTGGCTCAGCTGCACAATATGGTTCCTTGGCCTCCGACAGGAGCCCCCAACTAAGTGATCCTGGAAGCCCCTGGGGGCATGTGTTCCCAAAAAAGCCCCCTCTTGTATAATGTAGGTAAGAGCACAGGCCACAGAATCAGGCTTTCCTAAATTCTGCTCATGACACTCTCCTTACTAGCTCGGATACTCATGTGAGTGGTTTAACTTCTGGGCTTCACGTCCTCATTTGTATATTTATCAGTTAGGATTAAATAAAAATAATGCACGTAACACATTTCACATAGTGCCTGGCCAGAAGAAGGGTTTAATATTCTTGTTTCTACTGCTACTCCCTGCCAGTGGGAGAGTGTGTGGGCCAGTGGGGCAAAATACTTTTTTCTAGTTTTGTATTCTGTATTATGTTTTTTAAAAAAATTTTTTTTTTTTTTAGGGCGCCTGGGTGGCTCAGTTGGTTAAGCGACTGCCTTCGGCTCAGGTCATGATCCCAGGGTCCTGGGATCGAGTCCCACATCGGGCTCCTGGCTCAGCAGGAAGCCTGCTTCTCCCTCTCCCACTCCCCCTGCTTGTGTTCCTGCTCTCGCTGTCTCTGTCTCTGTCAAATAGATAAATAAATTAAAAAAAAAAAAAATCTTTAAAAAAATTTTTTTTTAAAGATTTTATTTATTTATTTGAGAGAGAGAGAGAATGAGAGACAGAGAGCAGGAGAGGGAGGAGGGTCAGAGGGAGAAGCAGACTCCCTGCCAAGCAGGGAGCCCGATGCGGGACTCGATCCCAGGACTCCAGGATCATGACCTGAGCCGAAGGCAGTCGCTTAACCAACTGAGCCACCCAGGCGCCCATGTATTCTGTATTATGTTTTAAGCTGCTTGTGGCCCCAGCATCTTAGAGCTGTTGTGTAAAGTGAATCAACTCTTTTTGTTTTTACTTAAAGCTTCCCTAGACATGAATCCTGTATAGTTCAGCCAGGAGACCCTTCCACGGGAGAGTTACTGAGAACAGTGCTGGGTAGGTTAAAGATGTGACGTCAGAGTGGTGTTTCGTAAGAGGACAAGTATATTGGAATCCTACACTAGACCAGGCGCTGGGCTTGGGTTGGGTCAGAGTGAGGGGCTGGTAGATTTCTTCTCTTGCCGGGAGCAGAGAAAGAGGAGAGTGACAGCACAGTGGCAGGATGCTGAGCACCAAGTTCTGAGGTCACCCCTCTCCCACATAGGTCCCCAGAAAAGTGCATAACCAATAAGACACTATGATTTTGAGGCTTTTTCTGAGCCAGGTAGCCAGTGCCCAAAGCCAAAGATGGGCAGAAAGCTCACTTGGCCTTCTTCTGCACTAGGGCTGAACCTGACCTCGTACCTTCCTACTCCAGTTCAAGGTCAGGGCATAGCAGCCCCTCGGGAGAGGAGGGGAGCAGGAGAGCTTGTCAGGCAGGTGTCATGCTCTGAGGAAGGGGTGCACCCCCATGTGCACCTTTCAACTTCTTTGAAAACTCCTTGAGACTGCCCCAGCCACGTTGGCACTTGGAGGAAGGGGGGGGGGGTCAGAGCTTGGAGCTTCTTTTTTTTTTTGTAGTCCCACCATAGACTGAGTTTTTTTGCAGGATCTGGCTCCCTTCCACCAGCCATGACTTTCTTACGAGGTAGAGCCCATGGTCCCAGCTCCTTCCTCACGCAGGATGGGCTCTCCCAGGGAGCCTTCCCACCTCTCATTCATGTGGGCTGCTAGTGTGCCTGCCCATCCCCACTGTTTGCTGTCTGATCTCGCCAAGACTCAGGTGCAGATGCTGTCCCTCCCTCCATATACTTAAGGTGGGGAGGATCCTAGCAGTGCAGAAATCATCAGGGTGTACAGAAAAGAGTCAGAGATCTCTAAGTGAGAAGACACCTTAATTAAGTCATGCATTCCAGAAAATGCTTAAATCCCCTTAACTATTTTCTTAATCTGCTGTCTTCTGCTTAAACATGATCCATAACAGGGAGTGCCCAGGCATGCATTTTGTCAATGTTTATCGAGTGCTGCCAAGTACCCAGCACCCTGGCAGGTCCTGGAAAACAGCAGTGAGCAAAAAGAGACGGTGCTCAAAAGCAAGTCAGGGGGCTGACCGTAAATATATGGACAGGTGTACAAATATATGATGGCGAATTGTGGGAGGCTCTGATGGGGGCCCTGTTTCAGAATGGTGGGTCAGAGAAGACATCTCTGAGGAGCTGACCCTTACAGAGAGATCTGGAGGTGAGCTGCAGTTGGCCAGGTGAACAGTGCAGGGAAGATCAGTCCAAGCCGGGAACAGCATGTCTAGAAACCATGAATAATAAAGAGTTTGACGTATTCACGGAACTGAAAGAAGGCCAAGGTTCCAATAATCGAGCAGACTTGGGTTTTTCCCTAAGTGCAGTAGGAAGCACTGAAGGTTTTTAATTAAACCACAGGAGTGACCTGTCTAGATGTATGCTTTTAAAAAGACCATGTTGCCGTGTTTGCAGAATAGATTTGTGGGGAGGGAGGAACAATGAAGAATTTAACATTGGGGCGCCTGGATGGCTCAGTCCCTTAAGTGACTGCCTTCGGCTCAGGTCATGATCCCAGGGTCCTGGGATCGAGCCCCGCGTCGGGCTCCCTGCTCAGTGGAGAGTCTGCTTCTCCCTCTCCCTCTGCCTGCCTCTCTGCCTACTTGTGCTATCTCTCTGTCAAATAAATAAATAAAATCTTTAAAAAAAAAAAAGAATTTAACATTATCTCCAATTGTAACATTCTAAGCCTTTATATATTTGACATGGATGGTATTACTAACTCTGTTTTGCACACGACAAAACTCAGAGAGACTAAGTGCCCTAGCCAAAGTCCTGCAGGCAACAAATGGAAGAATGGACTAGAACCCACTGCGTGTGGCCTCTCATTCAGGATGCTGCTGCTGTGTGTGTGTGTGTGTGTGTGTCTATCTGTGTGTGTGCATGAGTTGCTGCAATGGTTTTTAACCCTGGCTACGATCTGAATTTCCTATAGATATTTAAAACAGAGATGCCTTGACCCTACCCAAGGGAATCCAAGCTGATAGATTCTAAATAGAGTGAGCTCCACGAAGCACCGACTGTGTGTGGGTGTCTTTTGCACCGTGTCCCTGGCATGCAGCCCACTGCCGGTGCACAAGAAGTGCTTGGTGTTCGTCACCGTGCCCTGGGGCAGTGAATGAATGGGCTGGGGGCCGGGAGTGCGCTGGCTGGCTGGCTGGCTGGCTGCATCAGTGCCCTGGCTCTTCCCATTTCTCAGTACAGTCACCATTCATCCCTGAGTCCTGTTATCTGGAAGCTGGAAGCTTTGTTAATTACTCAGGACAGAGCCATCACTTGCTTTGCACAGGACTTCTCTTTTTACCTCTGTGAGCTTAAATACCAGTGCATCCTATTTTTATTATCACAACCTCAGAGTAAAAAGACGGAGGCAAGGAGAAGGAAAAAAAGAGAGAGAGAGAGGTGTAAAGAAGTCAACTGGTTGTCCAAGGTCATGCAATCAAGGTCCAAACCACTACCACCAGACAGGCTTTCTTATTCACTCAAGCCATATCTAACCCTGGCATTGCTGTGTATTCAGGGTTCCTCTGCCTGGCATTTCGGGTTCAGCAGGGATTAGTGATATCTTAGAAACTGTCCATGAAGAGGCTGATACGTGATTTGGCTTTATCTAGTTACAGTGCCCATGTAGATGTACATTTGAAGGTGCATGTATCATACTTGAAGGAATGGAAGGAATTCCTTTCATTTGGGGATTCTGTTTCTGAGTGCATTTTTTTTTTTCCAGGCGGTGTTCCATCTTTGATCGCTGGTCTTTTTATTGGATTTTTGGCTGGCTATGGAGCCTACCGTGTCTCCAATGACAAGCGAGATGTCAAACTGTCACTGTGTAAGTAAGACATTTTGTCCAGTTATGGAGAAGGGCCGAACCTTGGGAGTGGCTTTTTTGATACCTACACTAGGCATACTGGAAAACGTGCAGCCACGTGGCAAGTGGGTATGCATGTGTCGAGACTGAACACAAAATCGCAAACAAGGATGTTGCTCTCAGGCCTTCAAACACAGAAGAACATTTCTAGGAAACTTATTACTAGAAAAATAAAATAAAATTAGAAAAATCAAGGAATTATGCCCAGACTTTCTGCTAGTGCCCCTAAGGCCTATTAGCCTAGTTTTTGTGTTGCTATTAAAATACCTAACAAGAGGGGCGCCTGGGTGGCTCAGTCGTTAAGCGTCTGCTTTTGGCTCAGGTCAGGATCCCAGGGTCCTGGGATCGAGCCCCGCATCGGGCTCCCTGCTCGGCGGGAAGCCTGCTTCTCCCTCTCCCACTCCCCCTGCTTGTGTTCCCTCTCTCGCTGTGTCTCTCTCTGTCAAATAATTAAATAAAATCTTTAAAAAAATAAATAAATAAAATACCTAACAAGAGACGGCCTCCCATTATTTAATTCACAAGCAGCTTTTAGATCCTGTTTGCCTTAAGACTTACTCTAGAAAGCCAAAGCTGACCTTTTTTTAGCTTCTTCCCTTGTCGGGCTTGGTAGGGGAATGTCCACAGTAAAAATGGAAACCTGTATGTGTTTATAGGCCCTGGATGCTTGGCTCTCTTTAGTCTAGCTTGAGAGCCAGTGAAGGTTTGGAAATTGTTTCTATATTTAATTTGATTATTATTCAAAGTGCCCTGGTGGGTATGGAAGAAACTACAAATGAAGGCACATTTTATCAGTTCGGTCTTTGAGGGAGGGAAGGAGTCTTAGTGTTGTTCTTTTTGTTTTCTTTGTTTTTTTTTTTCTTGACTTGTTTGAAATAGAAGCTAGGGATAATTGGGTTTTTTTTTTTTTAGATTTATTTGAGAGAGAGAGAATGAGAGAGAGAGAGAGCATGAGAGGGGGGAGGGTCAGAGGAAGAAGCAGACTCCCTGCTGAGCAGGGAGCCCGATGCGGGACTCGATTCTGGGACCCCAGGATCATGACCTGAGCCGAAGGCAGTCACTTAACCAACTGAGCCACCCAGGCGCCCCTAGGGATAATTTTTAATAATGAAATTGTGTCAAAAGAAGAAACGTATTAGCAAGATGTGACTATTTTGGGCTTTTTATTCACATGCAGTGAAGTAGTTCACATATATTTATTGTCAGTCATTTTGTTCTTTATATCAGCAAGTGATTTTTCCTTGAAAGCTATTCTGAAATTGTGACGTCAGCACCCTCATCTCTTACATAAAACGGTCTCTCTCTCTCCATATTGATTCAGCTCCTAAAAGGCTGGTGTGACGCTTCTGAGTTTAATGTTATTGCCCAGACTGTTATTATTTAGCCTCCAGACATCCATTTCCCAAAATGCAGTGCTGCACATTAAAAACAGTCAGCCTTTTTTCCTAGTATTTCTTTATTCATCAGGTCTTACTTAAAAGATCCTGATTGTTTTCTTTACTTTCACTTAAATGAGCATTTATTGGGTGTCTCCTGTGGATCCAGACATACTGCCTAGTGTTCCTGAGGAAAGTTGAATGAGACACAGTCCTAGTCTTCCAGGAGGTTCTACCACCAGAAATTTAAGTTAGACAAAGACTTTTGAAGATATTTCAGGAATGGATTTTTAACGTGTTTGTTTACTCAGAGACCTTTTCAATAAGCTAGTTTATGAAGTCTTTTAAGAGAGCACTTTATCTTTTCAAGAAGATGGCAACTTGGGCGCCTGGGTGGCTCAGTTGGTTAAGCGACTGCCTTCGACTCGGGTCATGATCCTGGAGTCCCGGGATCGAGTCCCACATCAGGCTCCCTGCTCAGCAGGGAGTCTGCTTCACCCTCTGACCCACTCCCCTCTCATGCTCTCTGTCTCTCATTCTCTCTCCCGCAAATAAATAAAAAAATTAAAAAAAAAAAAAAAAGAAGATGGCAACTTAATACTTATACATAGTAGTCGTTATATTAAAAAGCTGAAACAATGTCCTTTTTTTTTTTGCACAAGCAGGCATTGATAATGTGTTTGAAACCCTGGTTCATGCATTGGTTTGGTTTTTAGTTACAGCTTTCTTCCTGGCCACCATAATGGGTGTGAGGTATAAGAGATCAAAGAAAATCATGCCAGCTGGGCTGGTTGCAGGCTTAAGGTAAGAAAAACTATTTTTCTGTACTTTCTTCTACCATCATTTAGTGTCGACTTTTTGGCAAGAGTCAGTTTTAACTTGGAAAGGTCAAAGTAATTTTTATTATAGTAAGCATGACTGTAAACCCTTAAAATATCAGGTCTGCAATCAGTCTTTGGTATTGATGTACCCATGAACATTTTTGTGGAGTATAATTTGATCCCAGTAATTCTATCCATGAGATTAAGCGTATTACCACATACAAATTTATAGGTAACATTTTTAATTCGTCCTGGAGGCAGCCTTTTTTTTGTATGTTGAAAGCCTTAAACATGTTTACTTCCTTTGTTACACATTTTTACTTTTTGGAATAAAGAAATAATGAAATGTATACAAAGACTGATGTTTATTGCACCTTTATTTCTAATGGGACACATGACGAACTGAAGAATTAGAAACAACCTAAAAACTCACTAGTAAGCAAATGTTTCAGTAAGTGTTTTGTCTGCTTAATGAAATATTGAGCAGCAATTAATGACATATTTTTAAAAACTATTTAGTGGCATTAGAACATCTTAATGATGCTGTGGGAGATAAAAGCAGAATAAATAATCAAATATAGTATGATCTCAAAAGTTTGTGTATAAAAAACCAAGATAGGAAAGATATGCTTCAGACTTTAATAGTGTTTATCACTGGGTGATAATGCAATGAGTAAGTTTCTCCTTCCTACTTTTCTTTAGAATTTTCTCATGTGGCTGTGTATCATGTTTATGACTTGGTGGGTGGGCGGTGGTGTCAGGGAGGAATGTGATTACAAAGGACTCTTTTTCAGTATGGCTGTGTTCTAAAAATGATCCTTGGTAATAGAAGAAATCGGAAGTAGGGTTTATGGGTCAAGAAGAACAAGACCGCAGTCAGTGGAAAGTAGCTGAGATTGTAATAACAACACCCCAGAATTGTTCCTTGCTTCTTTTTTCAAGCCACTTGCCTTTACTAGCTTATGAAAGGTTTGTGTTCCTTTCCAGACCTTTCTCTTACAAAGGTTCGCTCCAGATTTTCAGAATCGTGAGCTCTGATTTTGCTCGTTCAGTCAATCAGCATTTTTAAGTGGCTAATTCAGCTATGTCTGGGAAGTTCCAATACAGAGATAATTATGGAGATCATCCCTGTTCCGAGGAGAAGAGAGCATTTTGGAAGCCAAAGTTTAGTAACAGTACAGGTTAGGTGAATATATATGAACCTCTGTTTTATGCCACATAAGTGTGACCTGCTCTTTGCCTTTCTTTTATTTTAATCCAGCCTCATGATGATTCTGAGACTTGTCTTATTGTTGCTCTGAGAATCCAAAGGAACTGAAGACTAAAGCCATGTGATTCTACGGGCAGAGCATACACTTTGTATTTAAAAGATAAGCTTCAACGTGGAATGTTAAGTGTCTTATTTTACGTTAGAAACAACAGAAATGCTCCAAAATAAACACTAGTTTGAGGGATTTTTTTTTTAAACCAAAAACTCGACTGTTTTCTACTTGTCAAATAATGATTTTGTTAAAGATACTTAATAAATCATTATACACGCTTTCTTTTACTGTGTCTACTTTTATATATGTGAAGTTGGGTTTTTTTTGACAATTGCAAATACTCATGTCTGATGTTTAAATTAAACTATAAGATCCCAGATAATGGAATGCCAGAAGTGAACTTTACAAAATGCTGATGTAGCTGCTTGTCATTTGTGTGATATTAGAAATTATAGTTCTTCCATTTTAATTTTATTGCTGCCAGTGTTATTTTTCCCTTTAAAAAAACTCTATTCTCAGCACTCTCTGTGTACCAACAGAATGTATTCGGTATTCAAATAAAATGCATTCTGTTTTAAACCTGTTTCTCTCATTTTAGTGTCCTCTCTCTATACTCAAATCATTTTCAACATTTAAATGTTCAATTATTAATGAAAGAGATTGGGAACTCTTCCTCAGGAGCAGATGTTCTCCCTTGCTGGAACAATGGAGATAATATTGTAATAATTCTGAAACAAAAATGATTTTGTCCATTTTGTCCCAAATCACTTCATTTTTAGGCAGAATTATGACAATGTCCACAGCACTTTTAGGCCCCAGACTAAACATCAAGAGACCTGAGTTCTAGCCTGGTTCTCCCACTGACTGGTTATAGGTTCTTTGGAAGGTCATTTCCTCTCTCTGGGTCTCAGTTTCTCATCCATAAGGAGGAATTTGGACTAAATGGTTGATGAGATCCCTTAAACCTCTAAAAATCCGCCATTTTGATCCTGTTGCCTCTACTCCACGGTGTCAGGTTATAAACCCATTCTTTATATGAAATGGTGGGTAGAGCCCCAACTGGTAAGAGCAGGATTGACACTGTTGTGTTCACTTCTCTTTCCTAGCTGACTTTCAAGGAAGTTAGTAGACTTCCAGTGATAAGTAATTCAGTTAAGGGAAGGAAGGAAGGAAAGGAAAGGAAAAAAGAAAGAAAAGAAAGAAAACCTACCAGTTTAACCAAAAGGAAGGAAGGAAGGAAAGGAAAGAGAGAGAGAGAGAGAGAAAGAAAGAAAGAAAGAAGAAAGAAAGAAAGAAGAAAGAAAGAGAAAGAAAGAAAAGAAAAGAAAGAAAGAAGAAAGAAAGAAAGAAAGAAAGAAAGAAAAGAAAGAAAGAAAGAAAGAAAGGAAAGGAAGAAAGAAAAGAAAGAAAGAAAACCTACCAGTTTAACAAAATAGAAAACCCAGACAAAATCCTTTGATACACTTTAAAAACATTCTACTTTAAAAAATCCCACTTATCCTAATGGTGCTAAAGAGGTTGTTAGCCCAAGCAAAGTTGGAAAAAGTGGTTGTCATTGGGGTGCTGTGTGTACTTACTATCAGAGATGATTGAGAAGACCCTTCGGATTTGGATTGACAATTTATACTCATATGATTATGATAAAAAAGTAGAAACTAAATGTGAAATTGATCATAAAAATATATGCCATATCTGTAAAATACTCTAGTGATTGAAAGTTTAAGAAACTAGGGGCACCAGGGTGGCTCAGTCAGGCTAAGCATCTGCCTTTGGCTCAGATCATGATCTCAGGGTCCTGGGATTGAGTCCCACATGGGGCTCCCTGCTCAGCGGGGAGTCTGCTTCTCCCTCTGCCTCTGCCCCTCCCCCCACTCATGTTTTCTCTCTCGCTTGCAAATAAATAAAATCTTTAAAAAATAATAAAATCTAAAAAAAAAGAAAGTTTAAGAAACTAGCTTGAAGCTATGCCATGTCCAGGACTTTTCTCAAACGGGTGTGGAGTGGGTGACAATACGTATTTGTATATGTGGAGTGTTTTGTTTTTTAAAGAAGTCTTTGATATCCATTGACTTACTTATGATTTTACTCTTTTGCAATAAGTAGAATGCAGAAGAGTATTTGGATGATTCTGATTCATTGGTGTTTTATTGATTTATGGAAAAGGGTTGTCCGATTTACAAAGTATTTGGTAGTTTATTTCCTTTTGCTTGTTATTACCTTATTAAAGTGGCCTTATGATATCTTTCTGGGCACTGCTATGAATGCAAGGTGAAACATTTGAGAACTCTTCACTTGTTAATACTCGGCCACTATAGTGCCCATGTTTTTGACAACATGCCACGTTCAAATCTGAATATGTTCTTCACAGTCTCAATGGAGCCTTCATCTAGTGGAGGCTTCCTTTGGCTTCCAGGCAGCAGAAATTTGCGAATTGTGGGAATGTAGCTGATTCTGGCCTTGAATTCCTAAAATGCAGAAGTATACTATCCATGAGAAGAGAATATGGCAAAATAGATAAAATATAAATGATGCATATTTTTGCATGTGACAAAGTGTGTCAAGATTATATTCCTCGTGGTTGGTAGAAACGGGGGATAAAGTGGAATTTTCATACATCACGTGGCATTGGTACATGTAGCGATGCTATCCTTGTACAAAGCAAATTAGCAATATTTCTCAAGAACCACAAAAATGTTCATAGGCTGTAACCAAGTGACCCCATTTTTCAGATTGCATCCTAATGATACTATCTTAAATGTGGAAAAATGTATACCCATAAAGATGCTGTTGCAACATTATTCATAAAAGCAAAAATTCCAGAGTATCCTGATATATAACTAATAAATAGAAGTCCTTATGTCATAAGGATTTTTCCATGTCGTTACGTAATCTTGGAAAGTACACCTTTAGGTGGCTGCATAAAATTCTACCCAATGGATGTGCCTTCATTTATGTAGACCCTTCTCAGGTATTGAATATTTAAGTTGTTTATGATTTTCAGCATTTAAAATAAGGTTATTCTGAGCACAGCCCATGGAATATTATATAATCATGAAAATTTTCAGAAATAGAAGACTGTTGTATCCAAATGAGGCGGACTACATAAAAATACCCAAATATGCTTATAACATAATGTGAAGTGGGAAATTGAGGCTGCAGAATTACAGCCTATTTCTGTTAGAAACAACAGAAATGCTCCAAAATAAACACTAGTTTGAGGGATTTTTTTTTTAAACCAAAAACTCGACTGTTTTCTACTTGTCAAATAATGATTTTGTTAAAGATACTTAATAAATCATTATACACGCTTTCTTTTACTGTGTCTACTTTTATATATGTGAAGTTGGGCTTTTTTTGACAATTTTTGACAGGCGCCCTAATAAGCATATTTTTAGAAGGTTAGCAAGGGGGGCGCCTGGGTGGCTCAGTCGGTTAAGCGTCTGCCTTCGGCTCAGGTCATAATGCCAGGGTCCTGGGATCGAGCCCCACATTGGCTCCCTGCTCAGCAGGGAGCCTGCTTCTCCCTCTGCCTGCTTCTCCCTCTGCTTGTTCTCTCTCTCTCCCCCTCTCTCTGACAAATAAATAAAATCTTAAAAAAATTTAAAAAAAAAATAAAAGGTTAGCAAGGAATCCACCAACATAGCAAAGTGTTTTAGAACTCAGGCCACAGAATCAGTCAGGCCGAGGGTTTCGTGTGACTTGAGGGAAAGTTATTTAACCTCTTGGAGTCTTTACCTTTTCACTTTGAGGATGGAATAACATCAATGCAGTAATGTGCCTTCAGTGCTTGGTACAATGCTTGGCACCTAATAGGAGTATAGTTGATGGCTATGGTTATTGTTAAATAATGGCTCTGTGAGGGTGATATCTTAAATCTTTTCCCGTCATTTTATTGAGGTTCTGCTACATTCAGGGCAAAACCTTTGAGACTGAAGGCCTGCCAGAAGTCAGCCTCGGATCCCCATGCTGGTCCAGATGAAGCCTCGTCTGCTTTCCTATGCCCCCTTATTTTTAAATTTACTACCTTATATTGAGGTTATCTGTTGATGTGCTTATCTCGCCCACTAGGTATGTTCCTTGAGGGCATCTTTGTATCTTTAGCACAGGTCTTGGCATAAAGAAGCTAGGAGGGTCTTCAATAATAATGAATGACTGGTTGAAAGAATAAGTGAATGATACAAATTCATCCTTCCTGCAGTTCCTGGGAGTTAATTTGGATAGCAATACCTGTAGCAGAGGGAAACCTGCGAGGACACTGGGTTTGCACTCTTCAGCCATTAAGATGACTTCAAGGAGCTGTGTATCGGCCCAGCTCAGCTGATCGCCCACAAGGAAATCTTGCCCGTGGTCTCTTAGAGCCTGCATGACAGTTGAGAAGAAGGTAGAGGATTCAGGGGCATACCCAGCAGATAACTTAAAGTCAGGGTGATTTGGCAGAAAGTCTAGAAGTTTAGAGACCTGGCTCCTAATCTTGGGCGCTGGCCAGCTGTGTGAGCACATATAAATCCCATCTCTGAGGGCTTCAGTTTGTTCATCAAAAGAGGTGGGATAGCCTGGATCCTCCTGAGTATCCTGAACGCTGGAAACAGCCTGATCTCACACACCTTTGTCTTCTTTTCATTACATCCCCTGCACCTATTCTATGAACGTTTATAGAATAATTTTACCCCCATAGCCTGGATTGGTGGTCCTCCTGGGCTGGGATGATAATTCTCTCCTCACACCATCTCAGGTCAGGATCCTTATTAGGATGCTGCTCTATGTGGGAGAACATCGTTCTCACAGGGACCCACACCTTCTACAAGCAGATTTTCTTCTAATAGGGCTCTGACTTATAGGTCACTTTGAGTCAAAATCAACTGAAAATAAAAGGTTGGATAAGAAGGTCACTAAGGTATTGTCTAGCGCTCAAACTCTCTGATTTTGTGATGCTTGGACATGGGATCAGGAGTTAGAGAGACCAGAGTGTAGGCCCTAGTGTGATTAGTTGTATGACATCAGGCAAGTTACCTTGCTTCTTTAAGCTCTGGTTGCTTCGTCTGCAAAATGGGGATAACAATGGCACACCTTTCATGGAGTTATGAAGATGATGTGGGATCATGCATGCAAAATGCATGGCAGTGCTTAGCACATAGTAAGCACTTAGCAGAAATGAACCATCAGATGATTAGCTCTGTTTTGGTGATGATGATGATGTTGATACTATTTTTAGCCACAAGAAAAGTCTCTTTTCTTCATAGTATCTCACAACAAAAACTTAAGTCACTGGGAATAGTGATGTTAAACATTCATTCCATTGTCTATATTAATAAAACTATAAGAAAAAAATTGCTTAAATTATATGCTAATTATAATGGAATAGATTATCTTTTAATTTCGAAGGAATGATACCAAGAAAGCCTGAGGTATAGAATATTCATATTTTGATTCACCTTCCATCTTGGACCAAGGGGACTGATACCTCACTAAATGTAATTAGTGGAAAAGTATAACCTAGGAAGTTAGAGAATCTATAACCTACATTAAATACATAAATATAAGGGGCGCCTGGGTGGCTCGGTTGGTTAAACATCTGCCTTCAGCTCAGGTCATGATCCCAGGGTCCTGGGATGGAGTCCCACATTGGGCTCCCTGCTCAGCGGGGAGCCTGCTTCTCCCTCTCCCACTCCCCCTGCTTGTGCTCTCTCACTCTCTCCCTCTGTCAAATAAATAAATAGAATCTTTTAAAAATAAAAAATAAGTAAATACATAAATATCAAACAATCCATATGATTAGGCTATAAAATTGTTGATATGATAAATATATTCAAATGTATGTACTAAATCATTCAATTAGAACCATTGTTACTCAACCTAGAAAGGATGGATTAAACCAGCATTGCTGGTGCGTTTGGAAAACTGATATCTCATTTTTACCAAACCCTTAACATTTTTCATGATCCTTTCATATATTGACTGATATAATGAACACATCTTGACCTTGAGGTCAAGAGCACTGATAACCAAAGAAGTCATCCAACCCTGTGTTAGGGCTGGCACTAAGTATTTGCTTAAAGCTCAAGTTTCTCAGACATTATTTTCAGCTGTTAAAAATGCAGAGACAGATGAAAAATAGTACTATTTTTGGAACAATTGTTCTCTTAACATTTTGAATATTGTATAGAATTCTGATAAGCCTTATAAAGTACCCTGAGCCCTGGTACTATCCAGTGTATTTTAGAAGTAATATCCATCCTTTCCCCTCACTCCACCTCTCTAATTAGTGTGGGATTTTTCCTTCCTAGAATCCTCTTTTTTGGGGTACCTCGGTGGCTCAGTTGGTTAAGCGACTGCCTTCAGCGCAGGTCATGATCCTGGAGTCCCAGGATCGAGTCCCACATCGGGCTCCCTGCTCGGCGGGGAGTCTGCTTCTCCCTCTGACCCTCCCCCCTCTCATGCTCTCTCTCTCTCATTCTCTTTCTCTCAAATAAATAAATAAAATCTTAAAAAAAAAAAAAGACTCTTTACTCCAGAATTAAATCAAGCAACTGAAATTCTGTCAGCACTAGAACCACAAATATTGCTGAAGTCATGCATGAAATCCTTAAAAAAAAAATAAAATGCAGAAGACCGGAATGAGAGGAAGGAGAGCAGACTTGTTTTGTAACTACAATTGAGGGGAGAGTTTTGCTTTCACAAAGTGTTTTGGGGATCTTTCATCCACCAATGAAGTTCTCTACTTTTTTTTTTTTTTAAAGATTTTATTTATTTATTTGAGAGAGAGAATGAGAGACAGCACAAGAGGGAAGAGGGTCAGAGGGAGAAGCAGACACCCCGCTGAGCAGGGAGCCCGATGCGGGACTCGATCCCGGGACTCCAGGATCATGACCTGAGCCGAAGGCAGTCGCTTAACCAACTGAGCCACCCAGGTGCCCCTGAAGTTCTCTACTTTTAGTTTAGTTCTTTTTCTCCCCCTTGATCCAAGTCACAGGGCAGGGCAGAAGTTTGTCGCTTACCTTCTCATAGACAGGGAAGAATCTTGTAGTGGCTCTTTCAAGATGTATTCAAGATTCATCTTCTTCTCTCCAGGCAGGGACAGTGGAAAGAACATAATCATGTCGCTCAGGTCCTTCAAGCCCTCTACATACATGTCAATCCTAGAGAAGCAGTGATAATTCAAAAGAGTTGCAGATAAAGGAACCATCATTTCAGGAGCCAAAGAAACAAGTTATCAGTGCTTCACGCCACCTGCCTCTTAGCAGTTATCTCAGTGTCCCATGATTTAAATCAAGTATTTCTGCCTGCATGCTATTCCTTTGAGATATTAAGATCAATTTGAGAAACAGAAAAATGATAGGACTAGAGTGTGGGAGCGGTTATGTGGGTGTGAATATCAGCCGTGTGAGGTGAGTGCTAAGTAAAACAAACACAAAGTATTAAAATAATCCTAAAGTAATAAATAAGGCAAAGATCATATTTGGCTATTTAAATGTTATAATAAAAATGATGGGGCGCCTGGGTGGCTCAGTTGGTTAAGCGACTGCCTTCGGCTCAGGTCATGATCCTGGAGTCCCGGGATCGAGTCCCGCATCGGGCTCCCTGCTCGGCAGGAAGTCTGCTTCTCCCTCTGACCCTCCTCCCTCTCATGCTCTCTGTCTCTCATTCTCTCTGTCTCAAATAAATAAATAAAATCTTAAAAAAAATAAAAATAAAAATAAAAAATGAAATTGCCCATGTCTATACAGGTTGAGGAAGAGGTAACCAGGGACCTCTATGCTGCCAACAACACCTCCATCTGGATTGACGGTTCTCATACTTAGTAGAACAATTCAAGAAGGCACAGAACTTACTCCACAGGTCCCCCTTGCCACCACTCACATCTCTGTGCCAGAATGAATAGAGAAAGAGATACTATGTTAGACAAGGCACCATGGCGTAGTGAAAAGACCACTGGTCTGGGCATTGGGAAACCTCTGTCCTGGTCCAAAGTGAGTCCCTTAATGTGTTGGAGCCATAGTTCTTTCAATTTTAACCTAGAATACCAACGAGTATCTTGAAAGGGCCTCCAATTCTTTGCTACTTCTGCCATTGGGACATGTACAGGGTTAATCTGGATTAACCCATTACAACGAAGTTATCAGAGACCAGAGTAAGGTCAAACATTCCCGGGAGCCACTTCGCTCCCACTGGCCAAAGGTAGGACAGTTTGAGCATAAATGAGAGTAACAACTGAAGTGAACTGAAACACGTCAAAGATATTTAAATTGATGTGCTCATAGTGACACTAGAACAATAACGATAATTAATTGGTAGGATACAGGTGAGCCGACTCATTTGGAAAATTGGTAAACAAAGGTCTCTCATGTCTTTCCTAGAGGAAATTGTACTCCAGATAACCAGATAGTAGATGAAGGAAAGTTTTTCTTTATAGAAGTATCCTAGGTAATAAACGCAGAAGGAATGATATAGCACCAATGGCTGTTAATATCATAAAGAATAGACAAGCAGACATTTTTTGCTTCCTGATTTTGGAATGCGCCAATATCTATGAGATAGTCTTGCAAAAACCACTAGAATTTGAGTCTGTTAAAACCTCTATATCTAACAACCAATTGACAGGAAATAGAGACAGAGGAATGTGTTAAATACACTGCAGGGATGCAATCAGCAGAAATTTGGCAATTAGAGTCTGTTAGAAAGCAAGAGAAAGCTTATGTTAAGATTTAAAAATACAAGATCTATTTCAAAAATTTTACTACATTACAAATTTTAAAGTTCAGTTTCTGAAAATAAATGTATTCTTTAAAACAATGAGAAATTTATTTAAAACACACCTCCTTTGGTAAAAATGGACTATTTGTTGGTTACTGACTAAGGGTTTTCTAATTCTGTGCAATAATTTGCAGTTGAGGGTTGCTGTTTTAACATTCTAAGACAAGACAATGTTTTGCTGGTTTCTAGACAGGTCTGCCCATTGCAAAAGGACAAGTGTGTATGTGAGAATTAAGAATGTCTGGGACCCTGGGGCGGGGGACTATCTGGTGTGCCAGAGCCTAAGGAGGTGGTTTCCAAAGGCTACTTCCTGAATCAATTTCACAGGGTCAGGCTCCCAAATTTGTTCTTGTGATTTACCCTGTGCTTTACTCCCACCTAGTGGAGGGAAACACAGATTTCACCAGAAAGAGGCAGAAAATGAAATAAACTGTAATTGGCCATGAATTGGTAATTGTTGAAAGTAAATGTGTACACCGGGTTTATTTTACCATTCTCTCTCCTTTGATATGCATTAGATTTTTCCATAAGAAGTTAAAAAACAAGAAAAGAACTTTCAGTGAATCTATCAAGAACTACATATGATTGCTAACATGACTAAAGGTTAGATTTTGTTTTAAGTAAGAAATAATTGCTGTTACCAGGCTTGTTCCTGCAGGTTCCTTCCATACAAGTCGTATTTTGCAGCTAGGTATCTTAGGATAGCTCTGGTTTCGACCAAATTCATCCCATCAATTTCAACCATGGGCACTTGTTCATACATCAGGTTTCATCTTTAAATGTACAAAGGAAAGTTGGGTTCTGTACTGTCCCTGATGGTAGTAACTGAGTCTTCTTTAACTCTTAAGGTGCTATAAAACGGGACTACATAATTAAATATGATTAAAATATTTTAGAGACTAATCCCAAAGCAGGAATATGTATGCATTTATTCGCAGAAAGATGTGGAGAGTGCAAGACTTGAGGCTGAGTCCTCTGGGAGATACAACAAAGTGCAGACACAGAAGCTTTCTTTCTGGCCAAGAATGTCCCTTTCTCATCACTTATTCTCCATTCCTGTGGCCACCCCGCTGGCTAGACTCTCTTTCCCTCTGAACCATCGTAATAATGACCTAGCAGTTAACTCAGTCCTCAGATGGGCCCTCCTTTTTTTTTTTAATTAAGCTTTTTAATTTTAATTCCAGGACAGTTAACGTACAGTGTTCTATTAGTTCCAGGCATACAATATAGTGATTCAACAATTCTATATATCTTACGCAGCGCTCATCACTGTTAAGTGTGATCTTAATCCCCTTCACCTATTTCAGCCATTTCCACCTCCCCCCAACCCCCACCTCCCAGTTTGTTCTCTATAGAGTTAAGAGTCTGCTTTTTGGCTTGTGTCTTGTTTTCTTTGTTCATTTGTTTTGTTTCTTGAATTCCACATATGAGTGAAATCATATGATATTTGTCTTTCTCTGACTGGCTTATTTTGCTTAGCATTATACCCTCTAGGCCGGTCCATGTCATTGCAAATGACAAGATTTTCTTCTTTTTTTTGGCTGGGTGATATTCCATGATATGTATATACCACATCTTCTTTATCCATTCATTTATTGATGGAAACCTGGGCTACTTCCATCATTTGGCTATTGTAAATAATGCTGCGATAAACACAGGGTGCATATATCTCTTCAAATTACCGTTTTCATAATCTTTGGGCCACTACCCAAATAGTGGGATTACTGGATCATAGGGTAATTCTATTTTCAACTTTCTGAGGAAACTTCATACTGTTTTCCACAGTGGCTGCACCAGTTTGCATTCCCACCCACAGTGCATGAGGGTTCCTTTTTCTCCACATTCTCGCCAACATCTGTTGTTTCCTGACTTGTTAATTTTAGCCATTCTGACAGGTGTGAGGTGGTATCTCATCGTGGTTTTGATTTGCATTTCCCTGATGACGAGTGATGCTGAGCAGATGGGCCCTTCTTATCTACTCCACATGCACTGCCTGCTTGTTTTCCAGGAGTCATTCACTGGGCTTAAACCTTTCCATTACTCCTCTTTGCTTACAAGACAATAATATTTAACTTCAACCTTGAATTCGAAGCACTCCTTGACATTTGCCTCCATGTACTTTCGGCACGTTATTCCACACCACTCTCCTATGTGAACCAGAGTCCCAGTGGCCTCCCATCAGAGAGACAGCTCTTTGTTTTGGGCTTACTTTTTCAGTCTTCCAGGAAATCTTTGCATTACACAACAGAGACTTGAGAGGGCAATGGTTTAATTTAAAAGAATTCTACTCTCTCTGCCTCATCTTCCCTCCTTCTCTTCCTCCCCACATCAGTCAGTCTGACTCTTCCTCAGAAGGGCAACAGTAAGGATGGCACTTTTCCCACTTTTCCTTAAGTTAAGCCAGTTCTCTGGACTGATTCCGTGGCAAGAACATCCTGGTTTTTCTGCACTTGCCACCAGGTTTAACTGTCAGGACATTTTCTGCTCCCTAATTGCATCTCTCAGGATCCAGCTGGGAGACAGAACCATACTGGTTTCTTTAACCATACCAAGTTACAAAGAAGATAACTAGGTCCTGGAGCACTGAGAGGCAACAAAAAGACAGTACAGTATCATGAAGGTGACAAATGCAGAAAGTAAGTATCATCCCTAGGGCTGAGGAAACAAGGAGATGGTGCTGAAATTATTACAATTTAGAAGCGGGGGGGGGCTCCTCCCACTTTGAACACTCATATGCTTGTTGCAAGATCCAAGTACTGCCTTCCTGACATAGAGATATCGATAGATACTGCCTACCTAATCTTCTCGGCTCTTAGAACGTGTGTGTGTGGGCATGCATGCACACGCATGCGAGGCTCTCAGAGATGGAGAGACCATCTATTTCATCCTTGGTCTAATGCAGCATGATGCAAGGCTTTTTTTCTCACCTTGGATCCATTTCTCAAATTCCTCACGTGTTTCAAAAAGTTCTTCTTCAACCTAAAGAATGAAAGAATACAAGAATATGTTGTTATCATTTTTACTGTTGTTATTTCTTTTGATATCGTGGGAAAAGAGTGAAATAGAAATAAAAGTTCTAACCACCAAGGAAACCAATATTTCAACTAGTTATTGAACGCATGCTGGCCTTTTCTGGGTTCAATGAACCTAAGGACTCTTTTTTTGTTTGTTTGTTTGTTTTTAAAGATTTTATTTGTTTGACAGAGAGAGAGAGACAGCGAGAGAGGGAACACAAGCAGGGGGAGTGGGAGAGGGAGAAGCAGGCTTCCCGCCGAGCAGGGAGCCCCATGCGGGGCTTGATCCCATGACCCTGGGACTATGACCTGAGCTGAAGGCAGACGCTTAACAACTGAGCCACCCAGGCGCCCCTAGGGACGTTTTTATATAAAACCAAAACTGAATTCAGTTGACTGAGTAACACGGATACCTCCTGTGGTGTGGATGGAGCCTTCCAGGTAGACTTTTCAGATGACAATCTGAAATCTAGTACTCCCCTTCATTGGCTCAGACAAGTTACTCTCTTCTAATTTCAGTTTCCTAATGTATGAAAATGAAGCTACAGCTACTCACGATGTTGTCATGATGGCTAAAAGAGATCCTATCAAAGGAAGACTAACTCTCATGTTTGGCTCAATATTGCCCATTGTTACTGTTTTCCTCAGAAATTTCCCTTGGGTGGTGTTGGCTGTCCCTCATTTCCAGCGTTCAACAACAAGCAAATGTTAGTTTGATCATTCTATTATATATTCTCTTTTTAAACCCAAGAGGCTTAGACACAGGAAAATTAAATTGCAGCAAATCTCAGGAACTACGTGGTAGCAATCGAACAATAGCACTGAATGAATTCAAAAGACATTTGGGGCATTAAGGAAACATGAATCGAGGTGTAGTTTATTTTTTGGAGTTTTCAAAATTTTTTTGCTTGTCTTAGATTTCTGTTTTATTGTTAGATTGTTACCAGTTAACTTCTGAAAACTTTGTCTCTAAAATACATCCACAGATTGAACATTTTGTATTTGTGCATTTTGTACAGTATAATTTTAATATAAAATTTAAACACAATGAGTTTTCTGTATTATTTCCATCATTATTAGAGATGGAAAACCCCAACATGTAATTGGAAAACAGTATTTTCCCCAAAGATTCTATTCTATCCCATTGTCACAAAAATAATTTTTAAATTTTACATTTACAATTAGGAATGATAAAAAATATTAAGAAAAGACACTGATAACATGGTTCCCTGGTGGTGTTCCTGAATATTTAATGTTAAACCGAGATGTCAGATCACCCTCATTCCTAAACCTTGAAGACCAGCATTAACTACAATTATTGGTGCTCTTCTTCTCCAAGCCTTCATGTGATACTTATGAAGCCCAGAGAGGTTAAGTGACTTGCCTAAAGTCCCTCAGCTAAAAGGTGGAAGAACCAGGGCTAGAATCCCTTTTCTCCAAACCCACTACATTTTAGATACTATCATTTTGCTAAATATGTAATTTGTATTTCAATAATCTTTATAGGAAGAAGTCATTCCAAAGTTGACATCAAATATGAGAATATAGATAGGGATAACCAAGGTATAAAACAACGCTTCCCAAAAAGCATTTTTCCTAAATTTGAAGATTACTTATGACATTCATGTAGTGTGATGGGGGGGAAAAAAAGTATATATTTATGATTTCAATTTCTTCTCAAATTTCTCAGGTCAGGTACTCCAGGGTAACTTTTACTATCTGCTTTGGCCGGACTCTAAGAGCTCAGAGTGTGGAGCTCAAACTCCAGTTACAACCAGGGTGTTACCAGGTCAATCCCTGAGAGCAGCTTGGGCAGAGGGCAGCATGCAGGAGCTCATAGTCTGGGTGTGGCCATAGACCAGCACGGGATACAGCAAAATTCCTCAGACTACATAATGTCTGAGGAATTTCCTGGTAAGTTTAGACTGAGTTTGACCAGATCACACAGCAAGGGTCTCCACCTGAACATTTTTGTTTTTAATGGTGTGTTTTCTTCAATGATACCTTTTGCTTGAAGGCTTACTGTGCGAGGGGCCTTGGGCTCTAAGGATACACGAAGCACGGCCATTTTAGCAAAGTCATGTATGCTAGAGCATGAGGACTTAACTTTTGAAAATTTGCTATGACTCACATCAAAAGGAAAAGTCAGGCACAGAAGGTCAATATTGCTATAGAATTTTCTTCTAACTCTGACAAGCTACAATGATACCAACCCTGAATATAAAAACTGTGATGAGTCAGAAGACCCGGGAAGGAGTTTCATGTGGCTCAGAGGGTAGAATTGGCCATTTATTGTTCTGAAAAAATTAGGTCATTGGAAGAAGAAATAACAAGTTCAAAATTTTTTTTTAATCACATACTAAAAAACAGTGCCCCATCCAAAGGAATTGGAATGTTTTTGATAGGTGGGCTTTGGGTTCACATTGTCTCCTGTGTATTTTACCATATTTTATCTAGATCTAATGCTAATGCAATAATACATAAAAATTGAGATTTAAAAAATAATTATAAAGGAATGACCCTGATTCCCCACCCCCTTCATTTCTTCATCTGTCATTTATCCATCTCAATATGGATGGATCTCAAAGAAATAATATTGAGTGTAAGGAGGAAAATATAGAATGATTCACAAAGGGAACCGCTTATATAAATTATTTCAAAAGGTGCACAAGTCAATGGTTGGTGAGCACACACATAAATGCAAAAATATAAAGGCTGGACTAACTGGATAGGGGTTAGTTAAGTGGACATGGGGATGATGGTCCAACTAAATTTTAGCCGTATCTGTTAAGGTTTTATTTTTAAAAGATGATTATATTAATATATTACCCATGTGGTTTTTTTTAAGACTGAAGGCAAATATGACAAAATAATAATAATTGCTCATTCCATAGTGGCATCATGTTCGTTTATTATTACATCCTTTATACTTTATGTATTTTCAAAATTTTAATTTAAAATTAAAAAAATTCATAACAAAAGAATTTTTGAAAAAAAGTGATGATGAACTTTTCACAAGGATTTGTTGCTTTATTATAGCAGAAATTCTTTTTTTTTTTTTTTAAGATTTTTATTTATTTGACAGAGAGAGATACAGCAAGAGAGGGAACACAAGCAGGGGGAGCGGGAGAGGGAGAAGCAGGCTTCCTGCCGAGCAGGGAGCCCGATGCGGGGCTCGATCCCAGGACCCTGAGATCATGACCTGAGCCGAAGGCAGACACTTAACGACTGAGCCACCCAGGCGCCCCCAATAGCAGCTTTTAAGTATGTTGAGAATAGAATCTTTTTAATTCATTAAAGTATAGGATAGTTATATTTTTGGTAATGAATAATATGTTCTTACATCAGTATCTCTGAGACCCTTCTGTGTATTTAAAGAAAACTACCTGTTTCTCGATACTCATGAGACAAATGTAGTTAAACAAATCCAACACTTGGCTGACAAGGATGAAATGAAAAGAAGCTATTTGGTAAAATGAGTCCCTTCCTTCCTTGCCTCCTTCCTCCCTCCCTTCCTTTCTTCATTAGTCATTATTTGCTTCACCTTGGGTCAGCTCAGTACCAACAACCAGTTTCCATGATCCTTGAGTGCTTATTTAAAAGAACTAACTAATTCACTCACAGCCCAGTATCTAAAGAGCAGGTGGCAAAATCGGCTTTTTGTTCAGGAATCATAGGAGTTTCCCACACCTGCTCCCTAAGTAAGTGCTCAACGACCCCATGATGAAAATAATACGAATAAATCCAGCATCTTACCTCTACTCCTGCTGTGGCCAGGAGCCACCGAATGGACTCCATTCGGCCTCGTCCATTGAAGTAGTGAAGCTTGGGCTTCCTCGCCATTCCTGAGGATGCCTGCAAATCAACAGAAAGAGACTGATGAAGACTCTTCTGCACGGAGAACAAGCGGGAGAGAAATACAAATTACAGAGCAGTGCAAAGTTAACCAGAAAGCTCTGGACTTGTGCCCCAAATCAAAGCTGTTCTTCAGCCCCAAGGCTGCCTGGGTTCTGTGTTCTGTGTTCTGTCTCACAAGTGGAGTTTATCATCACAAATTGGTGTTCCCAACACTGAATTGAATAACTGATACATTTTTAAAAATAGATAGAGGACAAGTGAGGAAGCCAGACAGATGGAAGGAATTAAAAAATAAGACATTGACCAGCTTTTCCTCCTGTAGCAGGTGATGAGCTTCTAGCATTCCAATCTCTTTCCTTTTTATCTATACAGATCCTCCTCCCCTCTCCTGCCAGCACAGCCCAGACTGGCAAAACTGGGTGAGATTAGGGGAGGCTGATGCTTTTCACTTTCCAAATTAATCTCGGTACTTTAATTCAGGTGTCCTCTGAAGCCTGCAGACAGGATTCAAGAAGATTTTCAATGACTCATTAGGATTTAAAGCAAAAGTGCGGAGTTAGGCACAGTGGGTCTTTTCACGCTTTCTTTTTCCTCTGAAAATGAAAACATCTTTTTTAGAAGCATAACCCTTGTTCACCTTGAAGAAGTTAAAGTAGTGGAGAAATTAAAACCCCATCCACACCACCCCAAGATAACCTCTGAGGCTTATGGGGCATGAGGGGGTGGCCTTGGTGGGGTGACAGGCTCTGGACATTCAAAAGTAGCTTGAGGTCCCTGGAGAGGTGGGTCCCTGGAAGCAGGGGACGCTATGTGGAGAGGTGGGAGTGGCCTAATGCTATGAATGGGACCTAATTTATTTTGCAGCATATCACCTGGTCACTTTTCAAAACAGCAATTCTACACATTAAGAGCTCAGGAGAATAAGTGAAGAAAAAAGGTTAGATTGAGGATATTATCATTTTGAAAACCAGAATGAAAAAAAAAAAGTGACCTAGACCTATGGTTTTTCAGCCCCCTATGTGGTACCTATTAGAATCACCCTATTAGGGGCTTAAAACACGCACAGGTGCACAAGTGTGCATGCACGTTCTCTCTCTCTCTCTCTCTCTTCTCCCGACCCCTGCCTGGGTCCCACATTGATTTGGGAAAGGACTCTGGCATGAGTGTTTTTTAGAATCTCTCTAGGTGATTCCAACATGCAGTCAGCATTAAGAACCACTGATCTGGACGATGGTTATATCAATAGCTGCTAAAACTACTAATAGAGATCCCTAGAATGGAAAGGTCAGGCTGACCACTCCACACACCTAACATCACTAAAAGTGGGACAACCAGACATGACAATCCTCCCAATGTGATGCAGGAGAAGTGTACAGCACTGCCTTGAAGGATTCTTGCCAAAACAACTGACCAGGAATTCAATCAAGCCTCAAGATCCCAATTTATGGGAAATGCAGGAAACAGATGAACACTTCAGGGATGCAATTAGCAAAATCGGCAAAATCTATAACGTGGAAATCAACAGTCTTGCCATTCAGAGAGTGGTCCCCAGGCTAGCAACATATAGATCACCTGGGAAGTTGTTCGAAATGCAGGCCTCTCAGGCTCCACCCAGACCCTCTAGAATCTACATTTTAAGATCCCCAGGGATTTACATCCACCACATTCAAATTTGAGAGGCACTGTTCTGCAGGCCAAGTGACTAACACATTCCCAAAGAACTCTCTACTCTTATACTGTGGTGGTAAGAAGTTTTAAAAAAAAATACATGCAAATCAGAGAGGCAGGGGAAATCTATAGGCCCGAGAGATTTAAGAGATTCTTTAAACAAATGCAATGTACAGAAACTTTTTTTGGATTCTCATCTTAACAGAGCAATTATTTTAAAAATAGATGATACGATTAGAAACTTTGAACCAAGACCATTTAATGTAAGAGAATTATTGTTAATTTTTTAGGTATTATGGTGATATTATGGAATGTTTTTCAGAAGGAATCCTTATCTTGAGAGACCCTGAGCAGAGGGTCCAATTAACTTAAAGCCGGATTCCTGACCTACAGAAACTAGGAAATAATAAATGGATGTTACTCTCAGGAAAAAAAAAATCCTTATCTTTCAGAGATTCATATCAAAGGAGTTATGGATAAAATAGTATGATATTGGGATTTGCTTCCAATTAATCCAGTTGTGAGGGGGAATGGGTGGGAGTCTCAGTCTAACACGAGAGACATTTTGTTGCTAACTGCTGCAACTGGGTGATGGGTATATGGGTTGCTTATACTATTTGTCCATTTTCATAAATGTATGAAATTTCCCATCATAAAAACATTTTTAATTGCTCAGCAAAAGCTGATGTTATTCATAATGGACTGAAGCTTTTAAGGCCCTGGGGTGGCTTCTGAATCACAAGGAGATTTGGAACAGTGTTCATTCCAGCTTCAGGGATGTATGTGTGGGATGAATGCTCAGCCTAGATTTAGTTTGCACCCCTGGTGGAATGGGGTTCAAAATAGAACTGTTACAGAAATACAAAAAAAAATTTTGTACTCTTGAATTTGTGAACTGGCTCACATGGATCCGCACCCCACAGTATCCACTCTGAAAAGTTCCCTCTGAAAAGTCTGAGGCCCAGGGTGCTTGTGAGCTGACCCACCTTCCCATCTGGTCTCGCCCACAGCAGATGTGGGGCAGATGTAGAAGAAAGCAGGTGCCTCCCACAGGACAATGAGCTTTTTTTTTTTTTTTAAGATTTTATTTATTTGTGAGAGAGAGAATGAGAGACAGAGAGCATGAGAGGGAGGAGGGTCAGAGGGAGAAGCAGACTCCCTGCTGAGCAGGGAGCCCGATGTGGGACTCAATCCCGGGACTCCAGGATCATGACCTGAGCCGAAGGCAGTTGCTTAACCAACTGAGCCACCCAGGCGCCCAGGACAATGGGCTTCTGATTCTCATGCTGTCTTGGGGAGCTGGCTGAGAGGGGCTGAGTTCATGGAGCATGGGGAGGCCCCCGTGAGGACCTGGGGCTAGATATTGTGGTCGCTGGTCTCTGGTTCCATCAGCTTTGGGCTGGTTCCCGCAGAGTGGAGACCAGTGAGCGGCCTTGGGTCAGGTGCTAGGGAGGCTCTGACAAGCACAGGTGGGGCCTGGAGCTGGGGAGGACCTGAGCCACCCAGAACTTCACTTGTCATCCACAGGGCCTGTGCCCGACTCCCAGCAAGACTGCCATGGGGGCCCTGTCCAGACCCTCCCCACCATAAGCATTCATTCTTGGGGGTGGTTCCCAGGAGACCCACCAGCCTGGGGCACAAGCTCTTGATCCCTCTGCTTTCCCTGGACCCTACTTGGGCAGACAGAGCCTTGGTTTCCCTCAAGTGGGGACATCCCCAGCATTCTGGACCTGGGGTTTCTTGGGTCACCCCCACCCCCCAGCAGTTGACTAGACCAGCACAGGGCTCCCCTATTATCCTGCTCCCTCCTCTACCCCACTTTTGGGGGATGTGGAAGGTCTCTGCCCCAACTCACCTGCCTGCCTGTCCTCCGGTTGGGGACTGTGACATTCATGAGTACTTGACCTGGGGGCAGCTTATCTGAGCCTTAATAAAGAAAACCATACCTTAGAGAAAAAGAGAAAGCAGAGAAGGGCCAGGGTGACAGCTGCGAGAGCCCCCGGATATGTAACATATAATGGTAAGTCCCCAGTCCACTCGTTCTAAATGTACATATTAATTTGAGGTGAGAGAATAACAAGAGTATTTGGCAAATATAACTAAATCACATGGTTCATCCATTTTAAACCATTTGAGTTGTAATTTGGGCTTTCATTAAAGCTATAACTTTATTATAAACAGAAAAAAATTGGATATATTGTAAGTATCTGTGACTTCTACATATAGTGAACACACTGTAGCATAATTGCTGGGTTTTAACAACTGAATTTGTTTGCTTAAGAGAAAGTACTGAGGGGCTCCTGGATGACTCAGTTGGTTAAGCGACTGCCTTCGGCTCAGGTCATGATCCTGGAGTCCCGGGATCGAGTCCCGCATCGGGCTCCCTGCTCGGCAGGGAGTCTGCTTCTCCCTCTGACCCTCCTCCCTCTCATGCTCTCTGTCTCTCATTCTCTCTGTCTCAAATAAATAAATAAAATCTTAAAAAAAAAAAAAAAAGAGAAAGTACTGAACCTACTCCTACAAATGACCCCAAAGAGATTTCTAAGCAAAATATCATCTTCCACCAACTTTTTTCAGACTTCCAAATCTGCTTTTTATGGAGGGCAAGGGAAATCATAAGAAGGCTCAATAATAGACTCTAAGAGCACTGATCACAATGCTCCCCCACCTATTTGCAGAAAATAAAAAGGGATTAGAAGCAATTATTGTGCATTTATTTCATTCTAGCTCAAAGAACTCCATTAAGCAGGTACACCTGCTAAGTAGATAATTTCACAACTTTCAAGTGGGCATCTGAAATTAAAAAAAAAAAAATCAAAGGTAATAATCCGTTCTTTCAAGGGTATAGGAATAAAAGGAATTAAACAGACCAGTAACTACACATCTTTTTCCCTGATCCTCAGCCTGGCATTCTGGAATTATATCTCAATTATCTTGGCGTCATGCCCCCTTCTGCTTTGTCCACGGAAACCAGATTATCAGTAACACTGATTCCTGGATAATCTAAGAGAAAGAGTAGGGATGTTCCCCTATAAAAGTCAAGCTAGAAGCCTAGTGCACAATACATTTTCATGTGTCCTTGGGTATTGAATGCATGTTTTTTGGTCTCTGGAAAATCTTTCTGTCCTGCTGATGACACAAAGTGAAGTTTCTTTTGCTCTCATAAAGACACTGTCCTGGCACACATTGGTCTGCTCTGGAAAAGTCTGTGTTTCAGCGTCATGGCCAGAGGATTGCTTGTGTAGGAACTAAACTGTTAGGAATGGTGGAAAAGGAGGCTTTGTAAACTAATCAGATGATAGCCAGATAAGCAAACA